TAGTTTCAAACGCCAAAGCGTTATCCACTAGACCACTTGGACCACGAGAGCCACCTCTTGTACATCCTGCTGATGACGAGTCCCAAAGAGGACGAAATGCGCGTTGTGCTGGATTCCACTGCTAGTCACCATCCACAAATTAACTTCTAATTACACGCCTAGACATCGTCGAAGCATCTGCACAAGAAGCCAACAGACATGTCAACCTGAGACCGAGCACTTCGGTCCAATCAATCGACAGGAAAATCTAAAATTCAATTAGATCATCATAAATTACTGTAGAGTAAACTAACCGAGGTATTAACTGGTATATATATGGAATTTCAAGATAATTTCACTAAGCTACTGTAGTTCATTGATTATACTAGTTTATATGGAAGGGAAGAAATCTTCCTGTGATAATCAATTACAGAGACTCATAATCTTTGAAAAGCTAAGTAAGCTTCAATGGAAAATATACCCGAATGAAACATATGGACTCTTATGACAGATGAAGGTGTGCCATGTTCAAAATTTCGACCCATCAACAAATTCTACACCATACAGAAGTACCACCAGCACCTGACATTTGTTATCTTCCACCCGAGGTACAAAAACCTCGAGTGCATTCAAAAAATGCGAAACAACGAGTTGAATGTCGCCTCGACAGGGACATTGGGGAGAGATCGTGTTTGCAGGAAATGAAGGCTTATTGGCAATCTTGGAGACAGTTAAACAGGACTATAGGAAACAGGATGAGATGAAGATTTACTCCTGAAACTATATGTTCCAACCGGAACCTCAAGGCATAATGTTAATATAATAATAATTAATATTCTTACAATTTCAATTTTATGGTTATAACATCAGTGAGATGCATTTACATAACACTTATCTAGGGAGCATTGTCTCAACTACAGGAGGGACGGACGGACGAGGATGTCAAATCGAGAATCGGGAAGGCGAGAAACACATTCATCAACCTGAAACCAATCTGGAAATCTTCGTCACTCAGCATCAACAACAAAATGATTCGGATTTTCAATACAAACGTCAAGTCAGTCAGTTCTTCTGTACGGATCAGAAAGTTGGCGGGTCACAAAGAATATTTCCAACAGCCTGTTGCAGACCTTTATCAACAACTGTCTTCGCTCTATCCTACTGAAGATCAGATGGCCGGAAAGAACAAGAACCAACAAGAAACTATGGGAAGAAACAAAACAAGAACCAATCGCCCAACAACAAATATGCAGGAGAAAGTGGAGATGGATTGGACACTCGCTGAGGAGGTCACTGGGTGACATCGCGCGTCAGACCATATCTCGAGTGGAACCCGAAAGGGAAGCGGCGAGTGGTTCGTCGATGCAAGGGTGACATGGAGGAGATCGTGTGAAGAGGAGTTGAGACAGTATGGACTAACATGGATGCAGGTGAAAAGTACAGCAGGAGACAGAAGCAAGTGGAGATGTGCAGTCGAAGCCCCATGTTCCACTAGGTACCTAAGGGAACAATAATAATAATAAGGAATGTGGTAAAAAGAGCATTCAATGCTGCTGAATTATGCTGTGTCTTCAAAACCACTCCTATTTTACCTTTGGCAGTTAAAGATAAACTGCCTAATTTCGCCTCTTCTATGTGTATCTACCAATTTAACTGCTCCTGTGGAGTCAGTTAGCTGCTTGGGACGTAAAATTAAGCGTGTTTATCATTGGATTTCCAAACATCATCCTACATAGTGGTTAAGTAAGGGACAAACAAAATCCATTCATAGCTCTATTCTATCTCATCTTGTGGATATAGAACACAAGATTGATGTTAAAGAGACCGCCTTCGAAGTCATCTACCGCATACGAACTAATCTTAGCTTTATCTCACTCAAGAGTTCGTCGTCTACTACATATTCCTGAGGCTGATTGTTGGGATCTACATTAAGACATCTAACTTATGATGTATCCAAAAGAAGTTGGTTGGCTCAGACACTGTCCTTATCCCCTGGTCACCAAGGTTTCAATGATCCTTAATTTATTGTGGAAATTTCCTTGATTTTATTTGATATTCTATTTCCTATTACATTTTTATGCTTATTATAATTTATGCATCTCTCTTGAACTGTGATTTCAATGATCTTACATAGCAAATCGATAGTTAATTGACGACTATTCTAGAATATTCTATGTATATAAACATATATATTTTTTTCTATAGTTGGTTTGTAAGGATTAGTTTTGTTTCTACGAGTTGATCACGGATTGATATCAGTTAGAGAAACATTGGAAACCATCTGGGAGTACTGGACAGCTGTTTCATCCTAGTTTTGGGACTCATCGGCAGTATTCACCCACTCTGTGGGCGCCTTGTGGTTACAAGGCAAGCTCGTAAACCATTCAGCCACTGGGACCCGATTCAACGCCCATCCCGTGAATTCTAACTTCTACGAATTCGTAATTTAGCGCAACCACCAACCAATTTCATCGGTGGGACATCCCTGGTTTTCAATGGTTCTCTAACTGATATTAATCCGTGATCAACTCGTAAAAACAAAACTTATCCTAACAAACCAACTATAGAAAATTAATCTGATGCTCGCTAGTGACAGACTGCAGGATGGAATTTCCTGGAGTTCTAGTGAGACGTCGTGACCAGTGAGGTCATCCAGTTAAGTGTGAATGGAGTTCCCACCGACGACATTGGCTGGGGTCACAGTAGAAATCACGAATTGGTAGAAGTTAGAATTCATGGGATGGGCGTTGAATCGGATCCCAATGGTTGAATGGAACACGAGCTAGCTCGCCTTATAACCGGAAGGTCCCGGGTTTCGAACCCCGTGGTGTGGGTTCGTACTGCTGAAGCAGAGTCCGAAACTAGGATGAAACAGCTGTCCAGAACTCCCAGCTGGTTTTCAATGGTTTTCTAATTGATATCAATCCGTGATCAACTCGTTAAAATAACATATATTCACACGCACACACACATACAGACAAATATGCGCATTGACAATTCGACACTTATCATTACAAATATGTGATGACTGTTTACCTTTTTTCTGTTCTTATAAATATCTATCGACAAGTGACATTCAAAAAGGAACTGACTTCAATTTATGTAAAAAGATTTTGACTATATATGTTGATGATTCATAAAATCCAAATATTTTGATCTGGTTGTGTTCTCTGAGCTAGATAGTTGATTTGCGAAGCTTTCATCACCCTACTAGGTGACATCTTCAGCGCATACTTCAATTTCAATTGAAGTGAGCTTTTAGATTTCTCCACGAGGTTATTAATCATCTCTCCCGGTGACCTTTACGTGATGTAGTGATATCACTACATACAGACAACCACGGACATCAATTCAATTGGGACAATGTTCAAATATTAGATAGAGGAAACAACAAAAGTGCTAGAGAATTTTTAGAAGCTTGGCATTCCAGTGAATCATCAATCAATAGACATATCGAGATTGACAAAATTTATCAACCGATAAGAAGGAAATCATACACACAAAGGATCAAAGTTCAAGTCAAAGAAACAATCAGTTCCAATACAAGTAGCCTAGAAGGTGTGAAAACGCACAAAAACAACCAATCACGTCCATCGGGAGAGATGATCAACAAACTCGTGGAGAAATCTAAAAGCTCACTTCAAATTGAAGTATGCGCTGAAGATGTCACCTAGTAGGGTGATGAAAGCTTAGCAAATTAACTATCCAGCTCAGAGAATACAACCACATCAAAACCATCCACCTGAGCTAAAATTCTTCTCCATCATATCTAAAATCCGAATAATTCTACTGCGGAAGAAGCTGTGGTTGGTGGCTTACACAGCGAAACGTTCAGAAAAATAATCTTGTTTTGACTTTATTATTTTTTTCTTGAACACACTGGTATTATTTTAAATAACTTATAAGGAATGATTCAATCTGACTCGACGCTCAGATTATTCCAGCAGGAAGTATGGTATATGCTTTGCACCGTCTAAGTGCAAAGTACTGTTACAAGATTGGCAGGAGCCTGTACCTGCACTCACTCTTACGGGTGAACCGCTTGAAGTTGTTGATAAGTTTGTGTATCTGGGTAGTTGTGTGAGTGCTGGCGGAGGAGTGACGGATGAGATTTCCAACCGTATAATGAAGGCTAGGGTGGCATACATCAACTTGAGCCACCTCTGGCGCCGTCGCGACATTAGCCTGGCTGTCAAAGGTCGGGTATACAATGCTTCGGTGCGGGCTGTCTTGCTCTACGCCTGTGAAACCTGGCCTCACCGAGCTGAGGATGTGAGGCAGCTCTGTGTGTTCGATTATCGCTGTCTCCGCAGGTTTGCTTGCGTTCGATGGCATCATCGCGTGAGTTATCCTGAGGTTCGGCGGCGTGTGTTTGAACACAGTGGAGATCACCATTCATCACTGAGTGTCGTCATCTGGAAACACCGGCTCCGGTGGCTTGGACATTTGCTGGGAATGTCATCCTAGAGGCTTCCGTACAGGTCTCTGTTCGCTGCAGCCCTGGGACGGGATTGAAAAGGCGGAGGGGTGGTCAGTCCATGACGTAGCGTCGTGGGGTGAAGGATATTTGTGCTAGATTAGCATCGGTTGGTGCATCATGACTCCCTGGTTGGAGTCGGCGAGATAGCTCGAATCGATGGCTCGAAACGTTATGGGATACGGCCAAGAATCGTAATCATCAGTGGCGAACGTGTTGCAATTTCCTTCTTCCTTCCCTTCCTGATGATAGTTAACGAATACTGTCTGAACTTGTTAAACATGACTGTTTTCCTTCCAGATGAAGTTCTTTATCCGTTTTCTACTTATATTTTTACTTTTAATCTATGTTGTTTTATTATTATTGTGTGGCGCATCCTTCTTGGTGTCATATTGTACCAAGTTTTTTCTGCGTTTAAATAAAAAAAAATTAAAAATTCGTAACATCTACGATCTGAAAACTTTATAATATTATTATTACTCATATTGTTTTTTATGTACTTACTTTCAGTTAATTAAAAACAAATACCAAAAGATTTTTAATTATGATTCCTGATAAGAATGTTGAATTACACAGTGAACTGGGATCAATTATTGATGAGAAACACGATGATGGTGATGCTGGCGATGGCAATGGCAATGACGATGATCCAACTTCTATTGATTATCGTGTGTTAGCTGAAATTCTGCCGAAACCGCCTGATTTACCCTTCCCATTGGAACCAATTTTCATTCCAAATGAATTAGAAAACTTAACTCTTGGGAAATATGGTGGAATTAAATTCTGTGTAGAAAATTCTTCACAGGTAATTAAAATAAGTTATATATTTTCTAAAACAATTAGTCTCGTTTTATAACTTTGGATAGTGTTGTTATTAGAAGACAAAGATTATCTGAAAAGGTATGTGATGTGATGTGATGTATTTGCGTTATACCTTTGGAACAGCAGTTTGATCCCTCACACATTTACTTGTCAAATCGATATATATGCACAAAAATTAAGGGCATAAAAACCTAGTGAAATTTAGATTAGTTGACCCGAATTAGATAAGAAATCTAGAGAATAGTTCAGCTATACCACTTACTACATGCAATTACACACAACCATTGGATAAGATGACAGTTTTAAAATCTAATGTCACAGGTTGGAGGGAGAGATTGATAAGAGAAGCTTTATTTATCGAATCTACTGAAAACACGTGTAATAGGAATGATTCAACACCTGTCTAGTTGGACGTCTGGAGAATTCTACTACCCCTACGATGACAAATAGGAGAGAAAAAAGAAAACTATGATACTCAAGTTTCGAAGTAGTGTGATTATAATTGATGATGTGATTATGAACAATAAATTTTGTTCGAAACTTTACCATGCAGTTAATAATACTGTTTCACTGTGTGACAAATTTAATAAACAGACTATTAATGGCAATTAAATTAAACAGAGTGACAAAAAAGATTTAGGAATGGTTAATACAACGTTTGGTAATCCAATCAAATAAGAATTAGCAAGGTAGGTTAAGAGTAACAATAAACTGTTTTGAATACACAGAAGGGGGGTGGGGCTTAAGTTTATGAATAGCTGTGGCCTCAGCGTATTTCAATAAGTGCCCTCTCGACCATTTTTATAGATGACCTTAAAGACTGAGCTAACATCAATCTTATGGTTCATCTCGATTAGGTGCTTAGCTATAGACGAAGTTGGTAGTCTGACACCTGCATCTATTGGTTTTCCATAGTTCATTTGTTTTTCTAATCATTTCGAGATATGCTATCCCACCCTTACATGCAAAGCACGACTACTACTCCCACACAAACACAAACACACACGAAAATAGGTGAATAGTGTGCACTTTTGAGGTTTGCAGTGGAGCATACTTTTGGCTTTTTCGATAATTACAAGCCGGGCTGCACAATAGGTTCTGCGGATGACCGAATTGTGGAAAACCAATAAGACCTTCTGATTTTCATTATTGGATCAAATGACCGAGCATTTCGAACAGGTATCAACATCTGTCTTTACTGGTTTGGTACTAAAGATGAAATGGTCAGAAAAGATAAGCGTGTTGAGGAACTTTAACAGCGACCGAACTAACAACCGAAGAGAAAGATGTAGACGGATGCACCGAGGAGAATGTTGAGTGACATCACGCCCCTGGCTGTCGAAGGAATCCTTATGGGAAACGGATGGTTGTATGTTCGAAGCTGACGTAGAAGGAAGAGATGAAATCTCATTGGCAATTAGGACCAAAGAAAGATGGCTTACGCCTCACTCTGCAAGAAATGACCGGCGTGGAATAATGCTCTTATCTACGCCGAGTAAAATACTAAGTCACGTCATCCTGAAGAAAATAGAAGATGAACTAGATGGAGAACTCCACGACCAGAAGCACAAGCTGGATTCAGGAAAGGCAATGCACATGTCGAGCAAATTGCAGCTCTACGCATCGTCATCACAGAACAAAGCAAAGAATGGCAGTCAAACCTCACTATACCTCAACTTCATCGTCCAATTTGAAAAGGACTTCGACAGACACTTGATCGAGAAGTAATTTGGAAACTACTTCAACACTCCAGCATTCAGAATCTCAAGTCTATGTCAACCTCATTCAACAGTTGGTTATAAAGCAATGCTAGGCGTCAGTCAGGTGATCCACAACGGGAAAACTCACTCAACGAGGCATTCGAAATGAATAACGGAGTAAGACAAGGCTGGCCGGTTGCCTGTTATCACCAACGATATTGTTCGTAATTGTGGTGGACTAGCTTATGCGTCAGACTAGTCATTGTTAATGAGAAGACATGAATACACTGCACTGGCCGATGAGAAGGCTGTAGAAGATCTGGATTCCTCGTGTGAATGATTTATGTTTGATATCACACAAACTGGAAAACTTGCAGGCAGCAGAAAACCAACAAACTGACTGAAGAAGCAGGTGGCAAAGACAGGACTGCAGGTGAATATACAGTAGATGGAGGTGATGAAGATAACTAGCTAACGAACAGCAACAACAACAACCTGCACCAGTCACGCATCACCAACTGGAGAGATTTGACAGTAGTCACTTCCTGGCTTTACTTATCTAGGAAGCGCGCTTTCAACTACAAGCAGTCGGACAGCACGGATAAACATGTTAAAGGCAGCCAGCCAGTCAGAATTGGAAGAAGCAAGACAGGAAAGAAGTCCTTTTGAAGAAAAATATTCGGATTTTTAACACACCAATGGGAAGTCAGCCGGTCAGTTCTTCTATCTGGGTCAAAATGTCAGTGAATTCTTCAAAAAAGGGCATTTCCAACATGTTACAGATTTCTACCATTATCTCCCGCCTTCTTTAGCTGCATACTGAAGATCAAACGGTCAGGCGGCCAGCAAAAAAAATTTTCAACAAAAATTTCTAGCTGATGAAAAACCAACAGGTGACAGTCGATTTTTGAATGAATATGTAGGAGAAAATGGAGATTGATCAGGCATGCGCCACTGAGGAGACCATCGAATGACATCGTGTGTAATGCTGCGCATCGTTGGAGTGGGATCCTCATAGGAAATGACGAGTGGGTCGTCAGTGCGAGGGTGACATCAGAAAATAGGGGGAAGTGGAGATGTGTTGCTGTAGGCCTATGTACCACTCGGAACCCAAGGGAATAACGACAATAATAATATTTGCTCTATCAATGTCATCACCAATATCCTTTAACATCATAGACAAAAGTGACAGTTTTAGCGTTGAATGTATTTTCATTCAGTCAGTGCTCATGTATGTTGAAATCCAACGAGCTATGTTGGCTCTTGATATAATCTGAGGCAAAGTTCTACAATAGAGTCCCAAGGAACGAACGCACAAGTGACCTTGAACCGACCAATCAGAAAAAAGGATGATTTTTGCATAAAATTTTACGTATTTTTACATAAATAAGCATGAAAAAAAATCAAACAGGGTACTTTTCTCTAATATGAGTTAAAAAAATGTTCCAATTATTAATAGGAGTTTCAGTTTTGAAATTAAACCAATTTCTATACATGTATTCATCCAAATGACTGAAAATGACTTCGTTTTGTGATCCATTGATGGCTCGGATTCGATTTTTCAGTCTTCCCCTAAAACCCTCGATGGAATTAGTATGCGTTCCGGTGACAGGGTCGACGAAATCATGCGAATGGTTAACTCTATGATGTATATACCCGAGTTGCAATAACTGGTTATATCCCGCCCATTCATCGGTGTGTATGGTAGTGCCAGGCAAAACAAGCCTCTGAATAATAGGCAGCAGAGTGCCCGCACTCCTGTCTGGAATCAGTTCAATGAATCCTTTGCGAATTTGGGTATCATAAATTCCCAACACCCAAACGCTGTTCGCTCTAGCACGACCACGATTGTATTTCTTCTTTATCAGCACTGTTTCGTCGACGTGAACGATAACACCCACTCCTCCCAATACTTGAGTAATATTATTCATTTTCCATGATGCTAAATCTCTACAAAACTGAAACCACTGAACAGTAGATGCCAAAGTATTTTCTGTCTGAGCCGCTGTTGACCTCACTCCGGACTTAAAAACCCAGTAATTGCACATAAACAGGATTTTCGTCAACAAGAGTTTCGATTTTTCAAAGAAAGTCCCTAGAAGACAATTAACTGAGACTGTCACTTACCATTACGAACACTTATTCGTTTTCTGCACTGTGTACATCTAAAGACATATCCATCAATGACCTGTGAATACGATTGCAGGTTCATAGAAGCACCACAAGTACATATCCGTGTACGTGCTATTAATCCATTATCCAGACAGTACTGAAATACGTGATCTGGGTGAAATTTGCATCTCAGTAGATGAACAGCGTTCATTTTCGCGGTAGAATAATGGTAAGTTTCCTAAACCAATAACTAGCATGCGTTCAAGGTCATTGGAACATTTACAATCCTGGGACTCTATTGTTGAACTTCGCCTAATCTGACTCGAAATCACTTGAATCTCTAAAAGCGTTACAACTGTTTTTTGTTGTTGAGTACTTTCCTTCATTTACGAGTGAAACATACTGCTTGAAAATAGAAGCTTTGAATTTTCAAACTCAGTCTTTTAACTTTTGCGTATATCTTATCCTTTCCGTATATATTTTCTCTCTGTGTGTTTTTTTAGACTGAATTATCTGACCTGTCTGATTTAAACGAAATCAAACAAAAATTGAACAATTTATCATTACAACTTTTTAACGATTATTCCAAGCACATAGATCGTGTTAAAAATGCTTCCAACTATCAAATTAAACGAATGATTGAAGAGGCAGTTTTAAAAATTTATCTAGTTATGCAATCACGTGTAGATTATATCACCAGAGGATATACAAGTACAATTGAACGTGTTCGTGGTGCATGTCGTACTCAATTGGCGAATACAATAGCTATATTGAATGGATTAATTAATGCCGCGAAACGAAGGAATGAAAGTTTTATTGAAGTAAGTGGGAGACTGGATTGTATTTCCGAACGTTGATAGCTTGAAAGTATATGGACTCATAATAATATATGTGTAAAACTTGGGCACTGTGGTAGTAAATTGTAACTGCTGAAGACAAAGGCCAAGCAACAGATCGTTCACTGAGAAAATCAAAAGATATTTATAGATTTTTATGTACAACATTATTAGCGTTATTCGGAGTTATAGATAGAAGGCATAAGGAACATAATTCCAGAATTTGATGTAGGTAGACAGATTATTCAGTGTCAAAAAAAACAACTAATTATATATAGTGGAATTAGATAAAAGAGTTTAGAGTTCAGATTTCTATTGGAAAACACAAATTGGTTAGAGGCATATTACAGGTTCAGGGTCAGAGAACAGAGTGAATTTACACATCTTGTGGTGGAGAGTTTAAGAGGGTGGGGGTGAACAGTGAAGTAACGTTTTTTAACTTAAACAGACAAAACAATTAAGTAGATTTAGAAACTTGAAAGTCAAAATTGAATAGAATGTTTCGTAACAAGACAAACACACAGGCATACTGACAAAAAGGCAAAACCAAAATGAAAGAAAACAAAATAGAATTAGGGTTACCAGGGTAGTGAGAGATTAGTTACACTATCTTTCTGTATACAGAGGTCTGGTTGAAGTCTCTTGATAGCAATGGCTTCTGTGAAGCGAAGTAGCCATGGGTTTCTTAGCGTATTGATTATATTCAAGGCTTGGCTAATTTCTACTGTGTGTCCTGTGTCATTTAAATGTCTGGCGATTGCACTCGATAACGCTTTTCTTCCTTTTGTACGGAGACTCTTAGGAATGTGCTCAGAAAATCTAGTAGATGCTCTCCTCTCAGTCCTTGCTATGTACTTACTTCCGCAAGTGCAAATGAATTGGTAAATGCAGATGGAGTTGACGTGAGTAGGGTACTCATCTACCTTTGACTGGGTTAACGAGCACACAGTGTTGTGAAATAGTATCAGTCTGGCTGCTGGAAACGTTCTTTTTAATGCACCTGTGATTCTTTTTGTGTTCTTGTGGATACGTCTTCCCCTTTGTACGCTTGGGAGATGAAAACTGGTTTCTTTTCAACGGTGTCAGGTTTCGGTTTGTGTGCTTCTTCATTTCTATACTTTAATAAGAACGTTCGGGGATATCCATTCTCGATAAAGTTCTTTTCGATGATCGCGAGTTCTTCTTCAATCTTGTATTCCGAACATATTTCTTTGGCTCTGCCGAAGAGCGTTTTTACTAGACCTCGTTGGTAACTGGTTGGGCAAAAGCTGTGATAATTTAAGTATTGACCAGTCCAAGCTTCTTTCCTGTAGACAGATTTTTGAATCGTCCCATCATTTCTTTTTTTTCTTTTTATGTTGACATCTAGGAAATGGAACTGGTTGTTTCTTTCGTAGTCAACTGTAAATGCAATGTTAGGATGAGCCGCATTGAGTTTAATTTAATATGCCTCTAACCAATCTGTGTTTTCCAATAGAAATCTGAACTCTAGCCCCTCTTATCTAATTCCACTATATATAATTAGCTGTTTTTTGACACTGAACAATCTGTCTACCTACATCAAATTCTGGAATTAGCGTTATTGTTAGCAGAGAAGCAGCGTCTTCTGATTGGTTATTTTCTCGCTGAAAGTTATTCTGTCATCTCTTTGTGGCCGTTTCTTTGAAGGTCAGACCATATATCTGCGATTTATATTTGCACACGCTAAGTCTGCTGTGATTGGTTGTTGAGTTCCTCAAGGTTAGACTTTGTTATTGATTTATCTCGTGACCGCGATTCGGGACGTAAAGATTGACGTAAATTGCTGTCTACCATTTTTGGCTAGCAGACAGCTCTCACCACAAGTAATTCCATATTTGTTTATTTATTAGATATATTGCACAGTGAAACCGTGAAACACATATATTAAGTCCTGCAGAAATAAGTGTAGCCGTAGACAAGCTGAAACCTGAAGATATCCTCCCTAAAATGGAAACAGCTCTCAGTAGGATAGATAAAACAACGGCTAACGAAGTACGGGCACAATGTGCACTTACATTAAAACGACAAAAACAAGGAGAGCCTAACCTGACAAAACCAGAGAATAACAAGAATATAGTAATCACAAAGTCAAACAAGGGAAATGCAACAGTAATCTTAGACAAATCAGACTATTTGGACAAGGTGAAAACTCACATGCAAACAGGACCATATGAAGAAATTAATAAATCAATATACACCGTTATGAATAAAGGTTAAGAAATCCACAGCGAACCTTATACGCCGAAAGAAGCCGTTTCTAGGTGAGTCTAAATGGTTTAATTTAATGCCCAAAACTAGTAACCCCAGTAGGATATATGGTGTTGTTAAAGTTCATAAGTCAGGGTACCCTACTAGGCCTATAGTTGATTTTAGAAATTCGCCTACTTATGAATTATCTAAATATTTAGCCATGGTGTTAAATCCCATAAAAAGCCACTCGAAATCTAGACTAACTAATTCTTATGAACTAAAATAGAGATTAGATAATTTAAAATTAGATAATGAAGGAAAAATGGTTAGTTTTGACATTGTCAGTTTATATACACATATACCAATAAATATGGCTGTAGAGACAGTCAGAAACGAACTCATTTCTAACCAAGAAATCGAAACTGGAGCGAAAGCGCCACTTGAGGACATAATGCTGAGAGTGCAGCTATGCCTGACTTCCACAATATTTAAATTCCAGGTGAAAATATACAAAAAACTGAGGGAGTTGCTATGCGGTCACCAATATCCCCAGTTGTGTCAGATATATTCATGGATAGATGGGAAAACATAGCGATTGGAACGTTCACCTCCACCCCAAAAGTATGGTGGAGGTATGTATGACACATTCACTGTACTTAGAACACAAGATATAGATAGGTTTCTCGAACGCATCAACTCGAAGGTTGAGGCAATTCAATTCACCTATGAATTGGAAAGTCAGGTAGCAGGGGTAGCTTCCATTGTTAGATTGTAATGTAAAAAGGAAAGAAGATGGGAAGTTAAAACACACTAGTGTTTCCAGAAAATCCAAACATTCAAACAGATATTTGAACTTCCGATCATTCCATCCTATGTCAGTGAAAATAGGATTGGTGAAATGTTTAATTAATAGAGCACAAAAACTAAGCAGTACCAAGGAAAATCTAAGACAGGAAGTTAGGCATATAAGAGAATTGGTAGAAGTTAGAATTCATGAGCCATTGAATCGGGTCCCAGTGGCCGAATGGTATACGAGCTTGCCTTGTAACCGGAAGGTCCCGGGTTCGAATCCCAGTGGGTGCGTACTGCCGATGATTCCCAAACTAGGATGAAACAGCAGCTGTCCAGTACTCCTTGGTTTTCAATGGTTCTCTAACTGATATCAGTCCGTGATCAACTCGTAAAATATAAGAGAAGCTTCGAAACTTAATCAATAATTAGCCTGATAAATTAATCAGAATGTAGGGAAATGTACAAATAAAATAAATAATGACAGTAGTGATAATAATAATGATAGTAATATTAATGACGACATGCATGTCAAACATGCTCAAGATAATGACAACACCAACAATAAGGAATCTAAATCATCAGTGGTAATTCCATACAACGAAGGAACCTCGGAAGCCTTACGCAGAATTCTTAACTAGGCAGGAATGAAAGTGACTGGCATTCAAGCTACCCACAAACTCAATTAGAAACAAGCTTTGTCGGTTAACGGATCAATCCGGTATAGAAAATTAAACAAAACAATTTAGTTTATCTAATACCCTGCCTGCAGTGTTTGTCAGGTCAAATACATAGGTCAAAGTATTAGAACGGGATCAGTCAGTCAGACAAGTGGAGCACAAAACTCTGGCAGCAAAATCTAGATTAGTTGACCCTAATAAGATAAGATATCTGGAGAATACCTCAGCTTTACCAATCACTACACGAAATTACACACAACCATACAATAGGATGGGATAGGATGACAGTTTTAAAGTCTAATTAAAACAGGGAGGGGGAAGAGATTGATAACGGAAGCTTTGTTTATAGAATCAACTGCAAATACATGTAATAGGAATGATTCAACACCTGTCTAGTTGGCCATTTGGAGAATTCTTCTACCCCAACGACGACAAATAGGAAAGAATGAAGAAACCTACAAAACTCAAGTTTCGAAGTTGTGTGATTATAATTGAGATATGATTATGAACATCAATGAATTGTGTTTGAAACGTCATCCAGTAAATAATACTGTTTCACTGTGTGATATATTCAATAAACAAACTAATATGGAACGTACGGAATTCTATTTAATTATGACTAAGTAGTGAGATAGGATCACTAGCTGTCATAGAAGCTGTGTGGATCTCTGATGCGTTTATGTAATATGCAGTTGTTCAGATGGTATCAGATGGTAACTGACTGACCGGTTCCAACATATAACTTTGCATAGAAGTGCAACAGTTCGAGTTGCCATACTCCATTTAGTAGACAAAGAAAGTCAAAACAGAGATTCCGAAGATCCACGACCTCAGCCAGGAAGACTATACCCCCCCCCCTACGTGGCTCAAATCAACTGTCAAAGATTTCATGGACTGATTGCATGTTTTGGTTTGATCACGACTAGCTCTTTCCAACCTGATCCTATGTCGGCTAACTTTGGCGGTCAAGGAAGATGGTGACTCGATACACACAACACGTGTCCTAACCGTTTCAATCGATTCATCTTCATAACTGCATAGATTGGACTTCCGTCCTAATCTAACACTCTACGCCCAAGCTCAATAATAATCATCATAATCTACTATTTAAGACAGCAGATAGAAGGCGGACACCTACGACAGCTAGCATTTTCATATATTCCACGCATAGCCATAGAGGTGAATGGAGCGATATGATGTACAGTACAGACGTCTTTTGGTCGACGGTCGGATATCACATCCACTAAGCCAGAGATGGCGTAAGTTGGCGAGCATATACCACACAAACCTTTCTTTATACGTGCTGATATTTCGTCAGCAATCATCTCTTTGGAGCTGATGAAACTTTCCAAATAGGTGAAGTGGTCTACACACTGTACCACATCACTCTCTATCCTTAAACCAGGAGTCAGTGTATTCCATTCCTATAGCATCATTTCACATTTGACCAGAGCAGATTGTATGACAAACATTTGAAGATTGCTGCTCAGAAGATTCTGCATTTTATCGGCATCTTCACCCAGGAGGATTATATCACCCGCAATATTCTAAGCCAATAAGCCTATCTCCTGATAATAACTCATTGCCTAAGTCGCTGAAGCCAGTTGCGGTTAATGTCATTAAATAACATGAATTATGTCGTTTCCAGATTGGAACGTATCTATTAAACCAGCTAATTCTACACCTCAATACAGTTTATTCCATATTTAAGGATTATCACTTGATGAGCAGAACTCGGTTAAAACAAAATTAAATTACGTAAACATTTAAGACAGAGCCGAGATAGTTCAAACATCTGAGTTATACAGATAGAAAATTAGCGTAGTTACGGGATCTTTGAATAAGTGTTAATAAGAATGACATCTTTTGTCATGTAGAGCTTCCTGGGAATTCCCGATATGGGAACCATTCGAAAACCTGGGAGTACTGGACAGCTATTTCTATCCAGTTTAGGACTCACTGACATTGCGCTCCTACTGGAGTACGAGAGGAGTAACTTCTCTTCTTATTCTCCCATATCTATTATGTTATGACCGGAAGTACGACCTAGTAGACTATGATAGAATACTAACTTAATGCACTGGCTAATCTGTCCTAAGCGCACGCCAACAACAACAACAATAACACCGCTGGCACTCAAAGACAGAAGAAAAGACTGGACGTCGATAAGAGAGCCTATACTGTCTCAAACAAAAGTCAAAATGCTAGGCAGAAACTCTGTGTATATACAGTTAGAATGACCTTGAAAGTGCAGTAATTCACTGGTGCATTAACTGAATGTACTAACAGCCAATAGGAATCCAGCAATCAAAACAAAGGGCTCATGCCAGTGCACGATAACTCCTTAAAATGGTTATTTTAAGGTTTCAGGCAAAATTAGACAAAACTAGGTGTATTAGGTGGTTGGAGGTAATCACGTTACACTAGTTACTAGCTGGTGTTCAATCAGAAATATCCAATCCAAGTCATATAGGAGGTCATTCGAGAGCCTGAACAGCTCAGTGGTAACGTCTCTGACTGTAGTACTCACTGGGTGACGCGGGTTCGAACCTGAGAAGGGACACGAGCCCCTTCAAGGCGGTTGCAGATACGCCTTGCTGACTGGTGTGAGTGCCAACTAGCACGAGACCTAGGTCAGGCGGAGCTTCCTGCCGACTGCCTCCAACCATCTAATATCAATAATTTACAGTGCATCGTGATAGTAGGCCACCTAGTGGCATGTTGTCCACACTGCAAACTTGACTGGTAGAATTCAGTCTGCATCAAAGATAGGACTAGACACACACATTACACTGTTTACTGACGTCTGTCCAATCAAAACTAGGTGTACATAACACATTAGACCGTCATATTTTCCCATGTTACTATTCTTTCTCCCTCAATTTTCTGCTCATTATGGGCTCTCTAAAGGTGACTCTAAGCTATAGCAACCCAAAACGAAAATACCTAATAAAGACCTTGACAGATCTATATCGACCAATCAGATGCGTTAGAAGTAGAAGTGCGTAATTTGAAATAAACATCTATACACAAGTAATACAATGCTAAAAAAATATGGTTACATAGGATAAAATTCTTATGTATAATGCAAGAAAACCTCCCAATTTATCACAGGAGCCCTCATACTCAGGTTAAACCAATTTCTTCACATAAATTCGCCTAGATACCCAGCTAGCATTTTCTTCTGGTGCACTGCAGAGAGTGGAACATTTACCCGAAGTCCGCTCCAAACAATCTGTAGTGGGCCCAAAGTCAATGCTAGCCGGGTAACTGTGAATCAGCGTGCTTCTTGACTCATTCACCGCTCTGATAAGTGTGACTCTAGAAATTTTCGATGGAATTTTGTGAGTCCTGTCGAAAGGATTGATGAAACCGTCCGTATTATTTACCGCATTATGAATATAGCCCACGGATGACAACTGGCTGCAGGTTTTCTCCCTCTCAATAAGCCTGTTGTCTAAACATTACTTAAATATTAGATTTGGACAAAATTTGTTGGTAACAGTAAGGAATAGAAACCAACTTCAGGTGACCTTGAAACAGCCAATCAGACTCCTCCGGTTGAAAAGTGGTATTTCATTTATAAAACAGTATACCTATGATAGATATGTAATAAAAAGGAATAATATAGGATATATCTATCTCTAATATGCTGCAAAATCTGGCCCCAGTTTCTCGTAGAAGTGGTTACAGACATATCAAACTGGTGTATTCTCTATTTATATAGCTGTAACAGATACTGGTCGCATATATGCAATATATTACTGAAGGTGATTTTCAATTTCGAGAAGAAATCGTGTGGTGGTTGCATCTGAATGCATAACCACCAATAACCCGGCAATACTTTTTCAGAGTCATTATCCTCCCTCCACATATACATGTTTTACCCGCCCCTTTCCTCCCATATCAACCAATTTTCCACAGAGAAGTCAAAAACCAAATCTAGAAGACACTTGCAACGAGAATTATGACTAGCATACATTTGTAATGCTTAGCTATCTGATTGGTCGGATTAAGGTCATTTGACTTTGGTGTCTATTGGTTACTATTGTCAATTTGTTAAATAATTCGTACCCAGTACCTTTAATTCCGCCTATATGCTATGGACTCATCTGATCGGTTGCTCAAGGTCAATGATCCGTTCATTAGGCAGTTTCGCTTTGGGCCACTATAGAGTCTGGAGTCACCTAAATGTATAAAACATATTTAGTCAAATTTCATTTCTTTTTGGGATCAGAAATTAAATATAAATTGCATAAGGGTAATCTTGCATGTCACTAATGATATTTAGTGAGTTATTGATGATAGTAATCCCCTGATAGACGGAAAGATTCTGCAAAATAGAAATTATAGGAGAACATGGATCATTAGGTTCCCTGTCAGAATATGGAGACGCAATTACTTTCACTTTCCACTGTTATGATTGCTACAAAAAGTAATCAGTCATACTGAGAATTTGAAAAGCATTGAGATTATTCCAGTCTTATTAGTGGGCATTAAGATCTATTCTCTTGGTTTTCAACTGCTCTTATAACGTAGTAATACATAGGATGTGATACTGTTGACGTCTAAGTCAAAGCAGATTGGTTATCTGACTTGGTTTTCATTATTGAGGTATCACTTCAGTTTGTTCTTAAATGATTAGAGGCGATCGGTTAGAAGCCTTGGACCTAGGTTTCGTATTTGTTGGCACGCCTCAACAGGGAGTATCTACACCGACCCCTAGATTAGAATTAGGAAGTGAAGTTGTGGAGCGCGTTGGCAGCTTTACTTCTTTGGGAAGTACCATCAGCTCCAACGGGTTGATCTCTGACGAAACTCAGTACGAATACAGAGGGTTAGTTTGGCATATGCCAGTTTACGCCGTCTCTGGCGTAGACGTGATATCCGACTAACTATCAAACAAAGGACGTGTGTACTGCTTATCAGTCCGCTCCGTCCTCCTTTATGGCTTGACTGTGAGACCTGGCAATTGAGAGTGGAAGACATGAAAAGCCTGGCTAGCTGTCTTTCATCATAGGTGTCTGAGTTCTATCTCCCGTGTGAAGTGGTATAACAAGGTGAGTAATATTGAGGTTAGGCGTCGATTGCTAGGTAAGGAGGAGAAATCAGTCGACGAGGTTGTGAAATTACACCGACTGAGATGGTTAGGACATGTGTTAGGTATGCCTAGTCATCACCTTCCTCGACGGGCAATGTTAGCTGACATAGGGTCAAACTGGAAAAGAGCAAGTAGTGGTCAAACCAAAACATAGCACTAGTCAGTGGAATCCACATAGAAAGGTGTAGACTTCCTGGTTTGGTTCTTCAGGACGGTAAAAACCAATGGTTGGAAAGAATTGGTGACATGGCTCAAAATCGTTCTCATTGGCAACGCAGATGCATCCACTCCTTGTGACTTATGATTTCCAATGAAACTGTTTTGTTCTTTGTTATTACTATTCCTTTGTCTCACACCTCTGTTTACTGTCTATATTATGCATTTCTCCTACTTTCTTCTCTTACTTTGTGTGCTACATGGAGTGTGGCGACTTGGACTGCCGCACATATGTGCAAAGTTCTATGTCGAAAACCGACCGACCGACCGGGGGTATCTACAACATTTAAGGAACTCATATCTCTTTTTTGGGATTCAAACTCCTGTCACCCAGTACTACTGTTAGAGACGTTATGATTGATCTATTTTGGCTAACAACTAACTCTCTGTTGGAACTAAATGCATACTTTGATTGGACGCCAGGTAGTAACTGATGTCATTCGTTCGAATCTCAGAAGAGACATGAATTCTTTGAGAAAAACTCCAAAGCATCCTGGCAATCGACTCCAACCATCTTACAACAGTACAGGATACAACAGTATGACGAATCACTTAGTGTGATGGCCACATTGCAAACTCAACTTATAGAATGAGGAATAAATTAAACGAAATTCTAGACGCACGACATTATATACTACATAGCACCCCATAGAATAAAATTCTATTTAAATTATATATTACTGAATTATAATTCAGTAGATTGATTGTAATATGTAATATTTTAATAGTATTCTCAACTTACGCATATTCCTTTTCAGAGTACACTTCGAAATCGTATATCGGAATTGGAAACTGCCCTTCAACAAAACGAGTTAGATATGAAACAACTTCAAACAAAGTTAGAAGAAGTTGAGGAAAAATACGACACCTTGAATCTTGAAAAAACAAATATTATAATGTCAAGAAATTCTTCTCTAGAATCCTTTCCATCAGAAAACCTACCACCCAAAGTTATCACTGTTCAAATAGATGCAGCTGTACAAGTTGAAACACCGGATGAAAAAAGGCAATCATTGGAAAGACAAGTTAAAAATCTTTTAGAACAAATCGATGTATGTTTAAGGAAGTGGCGTATTTTTTTATTCAGAAAAGCTTTTATAACATTGCATTATTATTATTATTCCATTGCATTCCAAGTAGAACACAGAATGGGATTAAGTGATAGTATTAAAAAGTGGTACAGTTTGGTGAGGGGAAAGATTATTTGTCTAAGTCAGTTTTGATTTGCCTGTTGATTGACTGGACCAAAATTTTCGCTTTTTATAGACGAAGCTAGTGTGCAGTTTACCTTCATCTATTCGTTTTATTTTACAATCTAATATCATAGCTAATTCGCCTTGTTCATTTTCGGATTCAAATGTGAATTTCATTCCCTTTACTAGTGAGTTTAAGTTGTGTATGTAAAGAACCTGGAGAGAGATATGTTCTGTTGTATTTTATTGATAATTCTAATATTATCTTCAAATGTCCTTTGTCTTATATTGATTTTATTCAAATGTCTAATCACCAATTTTTACTCATGTATACAAACGACGAAGCAAGAAAGTTGTGTGAGTAGTGCCTTGATATGATGATTGTGAGCAGTAATAAATTGTGCTGGAAACGTTGTCATCATTAAATATTACTGTAGATGTAACATTGTGTGACTTTGCGCATAATAATGGAATTATTGATTCAATATTGATTACACCCAGAAATTTTAATGTTAATGATTAGCATTCATTTTACATGATATCTGAGAATTTGTCATTTAGATCATTTCACTCTTTAATGTGATTATCTTCTCTTAATCCGGGTAGTTTAGTTGAGAAATTATCACTGGATATCTAGGCAACATATTTTCAGTTGGTTTAAACAACAATAATAATTAGAATTCATGGGCTGGTCACTGAATGGTATGGTATACGACCTAGCTTGCCTTGCAACCAGAAGGTCATGTGTTCGAATCCCATGGCGTGGGTGCGTACCACCGATGATTCCTGAGCTAGGCTGATGAAACAGCTCACTGTCCAGTACTCCCTGGCTGGTTTTCAATGGTTCTCTAACTGATCAATATCAATCCGTGATCGTCTCATAAAAAGAGAAAATATAATCGATTTTTTTTGGATTTATATAATTTTAAATCGATAACAACTAGAGTAAAGCTACAATTTTATCTTTATTTTTATTTAAATGCATAAAATATCAAAAAAAGAAATACACATATTTTTTTAGGTACTTAAATCAGCGTTAAGTGCTGTTCAATCACAAGTTAAAACATTGAATGAAAAACATGATCAATACGAATTACAATTGAAATCGTTCAATGATCAAATCAATGAAAGTAAAGCGGATAATTCAAAATTAGAAAAACAGTTATTGAGCAAAGAAAATGAACTCAGTGTCTGTAAACAAAAAATGAAATCATCTGAATTACGATTGAATGAAATGTTAACATCATTGAATAAGTTAAGAGGTGAAAAAGCTCAGTTAGAAAATGACTATGCAATAAATCGTGACAATGAAATGGTGAGATTTAGTGTGAATGATTATTTTTTTTATTATCAAGTATTGATTTTTATATTGATTTTTGTTTGTTTGATTGACTGGAGGATTTAATCATGATAAGCTGAGGATCATTGGAAAGCCAGCTAGGAGTACTGCCAGACAGCTGTGTTTCGTCAGCCTACTTTGGTGGTCTTGGTCTTCAACAGTACGCATCCACCGCCAAGGTTCAAACCCATTGAAACCCAATCAAGTGGCCTATGAATTCTAACTCCTGTCATTTCGCGATATAGCGCAACCACTTAGCAATGTCTTCCCCGATGAGTAAATGTCCTCATCTTTGACTTGCTGATGGAAGAGATTGCTAAGTGGTCGCGCTGTATCGTGAGCTGACAGAAGTTGGAATTCATGGGCTGGTCACTGGATTGGGACCCAGGGGCTTAATGGTCTACCAGCCAGCTTGCCTTGTAACCGGAAGTTGCTGGGTCTTAAACCCACAGTTTGGGTGCTTACTTATGAAGAGTCCCTGGTTGGGACGAAACAGCTGCATGCCTGTACTCCATAGATGTTTTTCTAATGGTTCTCTGTAACTGGAGTCCGCTCAAGATGAATGATTTTCGCTTACATTCTACAAGTCTTATAAATGTTCGAGATTAGTCCTCGAAATGATATCAGATGGACGACGATCGATCACAATCAAATCTCTACAGGATAGCAGAGGTTCACGACTGACAACAGGATAGAGTCTCTGGAGTTGTGGTAAGAAGCTGTGACCATCAATTGAGTACATTTGGTTGAGTTTTAGGACAGATGTGCGCCAATAACATTTACTGAAATTGGAGCTATGTATTGTGGATATGCACAAGCTGTGATTCATTAAATAGTGACATCAGTTCATCTAGAAAGCCAAAGAGTACTGAGCAGTTTCCAGATATTTATTAGTATCCACCGACGAATTCAGAATCATTCAGTCTTAAAGTGAGCATATCTAGGCAACGAATGAGAATCCACTGATCCCCTGTTTCCTATTCGCTGAACAGTGAAAATTTCTGGATTATCAGACAGGTTTCACACAAATCACTCAGCTGAATACCAGTTTATTCTGTACTCTATTTATTGACACAACCTTGAAAATCTACGGGCAAAAGTGACAAGTTGGAGGAAGATGCAACGAGGGTAGGAATTCAAGTGAACGCAGAGAAGACGCACGTGATGAGGATATCTGACCACCATCTTCAAAAACACCACCACCAGCAACAAGCATAACCTCTTCCGCTTATTTTGGCAGTGTCCTCCCGCCTGAAAGTCACCATATGAATAAGGATGTCAAGGGCAGCCAGAATCGAAAAGACAAGAAAGGTATTCATTACACCGAAATCAACGTTGAAGTCTTCTAAAATCAGCATTAAGAACAAGATTGAGATTTTTGACAGTATATTATAATTATTGTTCCCTTGGGTTCCTAGTGGAACATAGGGCTTCAACTGCACATCTCCACTTGCTTCTGTCTTCTGATGTACTTTTCACCTGAGTCCATGTTAGTCCATACTGTTTCAACTCCTCTTCACACGATCTCCTCCATGTCACCCTTGCACTGACGTCCCACTCGCCGCTTCCCTTCCGGGTTCCACTCGAGCAATGGCCTGACGCGCGATGTCACCCAGCGGAGGCCTCCTCAGCGAGTGTCCAATCCATCTACACTTTCTCCTGCATATTTGTTGTTGGGCGATTGGTTCTTGCTTCGTTTGTTCCCATAGTCTCTTGTTGGTGATTCTTTCTGGCCGCCATCTGATCTTCAGTATAGAACGAAGACAGCTGTTGTTGATAAAGGTCTGCAACAGGCTGTTGGAAATATTCTTTGTGACCCGCCAACTTTCTGACCCGCGTATATAGAAGAACTGATTTGACGTTTGTATTGAAAATCCGAACCATTTTGTTGTTGATGCTGAGTGACAGCGGAAGATTTCCAGATTGGTTTCAGGTTGATGTATGTGTTTCTCGCCTTCCCGATTCTCGATTTGACATCGTCGTCGGTTCCTCCTGTAGTTGAGAGAATGCTCCCTAGAAAAGTGAATGAAGTAACCTCTTTCAAATTCCTCCCGTTGATGGTGATTGGCACTGGATGTTGCTGCTGTTGTTGTCTTGTCTATGTTCACCTGGAGTCCTGTCTTCTCTGGCTGCTTCTTCGACCAGTTTGTCGGTCTTCGCTTGTAAGTCTTCGATTTTGTGTGACATCAAACATAAATCATCCGCAAAGTCCAGGTCTTCTAGGTTCTTCACTTCGGTCAAGACAGGATAGCCCTGTCTTCTCGTTTCCCACTGTCTCACGCATAATCCAGCCCACCACACTTAGGAATATCATTGGTGATAATAAGCACCCTTATCTGACTCCTGTGTTTACTCCAAACGCTTCGCTGAGTTTTCCGTTGTGGATCACTTGACATGTGCCGTTGTCGTAGAGCTGTTGAATAAGGTTGATGAATATTTGGGGTGCGGCGTAGTACTTGAGTAGTTTCCAAATTACTTCGCGGTGAACGCTGTCGAAGGCCTTCTCGAAGTCTATGAAGTTGAGGTAGAGGTTTGATTGCCATTCCATACTTTGTTCGATGATGATGAGGGTGAAAATGGAAGTTATTTGGACTTATGCTGCGGAGACTGTCGGGTGACTTCGCGCTCTTGGTCCTTCAGTAGAACATGAATGGGAAACGACAATCTGGACGTGACTCCAAGGGTGACATGCAGAATATCATGTGACGAGGATTCAGATTCAGATTATAAGGATAGAAGACTCTTGTTGCCTATGTTAATCCTTGCGAAATGTATATCTCTGCAGAGATCCAGTTTCTCTTTTAAAGCATTAGCCGATGCAGTTGTTACTACTCTATCACGAAAAGAGTTCCAGTTGTTGGCCACTCTGTGAGAGAATCTAAATTCCACACGTATTTTATTCGACCTTGGTTTGAGCACCTTCTTATGGTGATCTCGTAAATGTATCCTAGAGGGAGAGAAAAGGTTTAAAAGGTCAATCCCCTTAAATTACCTTTTAATATACGGTAAGCCAGAATTTAGTCGCCTCTCCTCCTTCGTTATGATAATGACAAGAAATTTAAGTGCTCCATCATTTTATCATAAGGAAGGTGTTAGATACCACTAAGTAATTTGGTTCCTAGCCTCTGTACTCTTTCCAGGATATGTGTGCCTCCTTTTTGAAGCATGAACTCACCGCTTATATACAGTATTCTAGATGAGGTCTGACATATGTTGCATAGAGTAGTACTTGGATGTCACAGTCTATGTGATCAGTCTTGGAGTTGGGTAAAAAGGACAGCAGAGAATGGGACAAAGTAAAGATGTGCTATTGGAGGCTCTTTTGCACTTAGAACCCCAGAAGAAAAATAATTAAATAAATAAAGAATTCATGGGTGTTTGTATTCCACCCAAGAAGGACGCTGATTGGTTGATGGACTAACCTCGAAATTTGAGAGTAGGTTTATGGGTGCGTACTGTCGAACGAGAAGAAATAGCTGTCGAGTACTCCATGGTTTTCAGTGGTTCTCCAACTGAAATCAGTTCATGACTTAACTTGAAATTAATCGACTCCCAAAAATCTAACACTTGAAATTCTGTAGGCATTGTCGGTTTTTTCTTTTACTCTTGAAGAGTCCAGAAATAAGACCAAATTGTCTGTCTGTCTGCATTCGACACAGAACTTTGCACATATGTGCGGCAGTTCAAGTCGCCACACTCCATGTAGCACACAAAGAAAGAGAAGAAATGCATAATATAGACAGTAAACAGAGGTTAGAGACAAAGGAATAGTAATAACGAAGAACAAACCAGTTTAACCGCTAATCATAAGTCACAAGGAGTGGATGCATCTGCGCCACTGAGAACGATTTCGAGCCATGTCACCAATTGTTTCCAACAATTGGTTTTTACCCTCCCGAGGACCCCAGCCAGTCAAGAAGCCAGTCTACACCTTCCTACGTGACTTAAACTAACTGTTGTGGATTTCATTGACGGATGAAGCCATGTTTCGGTTTGACCACCACTAGCTAGCTCTTTTCCAACCTGACCCTATGTCAGCTAACATTGCCCATTGTCGAGGAAAGCGATGGCTAGGTAGTCATGCGCAACACATGTCCTAACCATCTCAGTCAATGTAATTTCACAGCCTCGTCGATTGATTTCCCCTCCTTACGTAGCACTTGATGCCTAATCTCAATATTGCTCACCTTATTATACCACTTCACACGGGAGATAGAACGCACGCACCTATGATCAAAGACAGCTAATATTTTCATGTCTTCCACTCTTAATGGCCAGGTCTCACAGTCAAGCCATAAAGGAGGACGGAGCGGACTGCTGAGCAGTACACACGTTTTTTGTTTGATAGATAGTCGGATATCACGTCTACGCCAGAGACAGCGTAAACTGGCATATGCGAAACTAGCCCTTTGCATTCGTGCTGAAATTTCGTCAGAGATCAACCCGTTGGGGCCGGCTGATGGTGCTTCCCAAGTAAGTGAAGCGGTCAACGTGCTCTACCACTTCACCTCCTATTTCTAATCTAGGAGTCAGTGTAGTCCAGTCCTCTAACATCATCTCACATTTGGCGGGAGCGAGTCGCATGCCTAATATTCGTAGATTGCAGCTTAAGGTGTTCAGAAGACTCTTCATTTTGTCAGAACAAACAGATGTTTAAATCTCTCTTAATTTTCAATGGTCCAATAGCTGATATTGATTTGCCTCAAAAGAAAAAAATTCATACTGAAATTCAAATTTTTCACATTCATTTTCTGTGATGAAAAGGTGCAGTCCAGGGAACATTGTATTTCACATTCCATCAGATTTGTCTTTTTTTTACTTATTTCTGTTGATATTACTACTTCATTTGGACGTATATACGCAGGTGAACAGACACAGAAAGAAGAAAAAAGTACATGAATCAACATCTGTTCAATAAAAAAAATTTATACATCGCGCTACATTGATTCATTGTGTTCAATTTTCAATGGAGCATGCAATATTCATGTGAATTTTGATGTGAAAATAAATTTTATTTGACTTTCTGTCTAAATTTTTTTCTTTTCTTTTTTCTTAAAGAAACAATTGAAACAGAAATTAGATGAATTGTTAAAAATTAAAGAAGCATTAGAAGATGAGTGTAGCTCACTTCGTAAAGAATTAATGCATATGAAAGAAGCACCAAAGGCTGTACAATCAAGTGATACTAGTATGAATAATTATGCACTTCGTGAACAAGCTCTTGTAGCTGAGGTGAGTCACTTTTGTACAAGTTAGTGAATAGTGTATACAATAATGTACTTGGTGTGTTTCTATTGAGGATTATTTAAGCAGAATATTCTCTTGCTTTGAATACTATTGGATTGTAGATGATAGAGATTCTTCTAACCTTGTTTAGCCTTTTCAACCTTGAGCTGTTGTGTTGATAAACGCATATATTTGCAGATCAAACCTCAAACTGCAATAGTTACGTGTTTTTATTCATTTACATTCCCAGTGGGACATAGGGGACTTCAAGCTAGAGGCTTGGAGTTTCTGTAGCAGTCGTTTGTTTAATTTTACGGGATGGAGTTGCTAGCCTCATGCCCAACCTTCCCTCTTTATTATTATTATTGTTTCCTTTAATTCCTAGAGGAACATATGACTTCAGCCGTGCGTCTCCATTGAGTTCGGTTCTCTGCTAGAATCTTCACCTGGCTCCAAGTCTGTCCACACGTTTTCATCTCCTCTCCACATGACCTCCTCGAAGTCACCCTTGCACTGACGACCAACTCGCCGCTTCCCTTTCGGGTTCCTCTCGAGCAATGGCGTGTCTATTGATGTCACTTGATGGTTTCCTCAGAGTATGGCCAGCCAATCCATCTCCATTACTTCCTGCCTATTTGTTTCACAATCGGTTCCTGCTGTGTTGGTTCGCTCCCAGAGATCTCTGTTGCCGATCTTGAGTATTGAGCGAAGACAACTGTTAATGAAGGTGTGTAGTTTGTTTGAGATGCTCTTTATGACGCGCAGTGCAAGTCTCTGATCCGTATAGTAGCTTTGACTTCAAAGTTGAGTTGAAAATCCGGATCTTATTTTTGATGCTGAGTACTGAATGTTGACCTCCAAACAGACTTGCGAAAACCCGTCTTGATTTTCCGATCCTTTCTTTGATATCCTCATCATTTCCGTCTGTCTGTAGTTGAAACGATGCTTCCCAGGTAGGTAAAAGAGGTTGTTTCTTCCAGATTTCCTCCATTTATGCTGATCATTGTCTGTTGTTGTTGTTCTTGTCCCTCTTTACCAGACTTATTATTGGCTTAGCAAGGTAAGGGATTGCGTCGGCTGGGGATAGAACCCCGAACCATAGTGCCAATGATGCACCGATAGTTACGTTATAACAGTATAAAGAAAACATCGCCTATAATCTATTGAGACACAGTGAAAAATTGGTAAAGCTGCTCTAGTTTTGAAGGAAATGTTCTCGGCCACTGTTACCTCCATTCTGATATGACCTTCTTCTCAAATACTTCATTACATGGATCTGCTCACATGATGTGTTAGCATTCTATCTTCCTCCCTCCTGTTAATTTCACAATTTGAAACAATAGATATCAATATCTGTCGAAAATGCATTCTTTTGGATATCACGATGCAGCTTGTGAATAGGGGGTCAAAGTCATAAAATGTTAAAGTTACTAAAATTGTATGCAAACTGTGGGCGATACTAAAATTTTGATAGTTATTTTTTTTAAGATATTATTGATGAACTCATTCTTCACTGGAATCAGAGGGACAGAATGATGTGGGTTGATGAAGGCTGTAGAAATGCAAAACTCCTTCTGGAACAGGTTGAATTCAGAAGAGGCAAACCATGTGCGGATCAAATCGCAGCGTTACGCACGCAGTATAGAGTGCTGGTAAATTCTACACATCAGCTATATCGACTATATAACGGTATTAAACAGAGTTGACTGCGAAATAATTAAGAAGCTACTTCAACACTATGCAGTCCCAAAGATGTGAACCTACATTTTTACAATGAT